TTTCAGGTGGAACTCTACCCTACGAACTCTTGTCCTCAGTATTATGTGGAGGGCTGGACAATTTTAGACATGCAACAGAGCAAATATATCCAACCAAAAGAAGACGAGACGTTCACCTGGATAGAGGTTTATTGGAGGCCTGCTGTTTTGAGTAGATATAGTCTCTGCCCATCTTCAGAGTCTACGAAATCATGCCCATAGTTGTCACTGTATGACGCACTTTGTTTGATATGTGGCCCGCCAATGCCGCCTGCGTGGCTGTATCCGATCCGCATTTCGCCGTGACCTGTGTCATCCTTACCCTCATTTACCGCGGAGATAATTTGCGGCCTCCAGTAAACCTCTACCGGTGAACGTCTCTTCTTCTTTTGACGAGCCACCTATAAATTGCTTTTTGCCTACTATATGCAAACAAATTAGGCTTCATACGGTGAAAAGAACGTGAACCATTTAAATTAAAGCCATGGCCTAGGTCTTACTAACAATACACAACTATATGTCGGAGATTGCCAAAGGACTAGATAAACATTCTCCATAAAAATCGCCAAAGGAGGGGGAGAAGAGCTCACTAAAAATGCTATTTAATGCTATATCTGACCGTCGTATGTGGGTTTGGCAGGCTTGTCACAAAGTCCCAGTGGACAAATCCTTTCTCGAATGCACAATTCAGTGCACTCGGTCAGCTTGACTAATTCTGCAACTAACGCTGAAAAAGGTTGAGGGAACTTTCGACTGGAACCCTGGCTATAGACAAGGTAAGGATGAAATGGCGAATCGAATCTTCCTTTATCTGTTAGCAGATGCTTCCATTTTTTGCTCAAGATTAGTGAACGTTTTCAATTTGGCAAAATGTCAAGCTGAGAACCGAAGGGGTTTGTTTGCGCGGAAGCCTCATTTCTGGCTAATCGTCATTCTAACCCACCTTAAGAACGTAGTATCAGCGGACGTTCTAGCTTTCCGAATTGCGTACAGGATGCCGAAAAAACCGGCGGATGCCTTTATGTCAGTATATATTCGAGATTGTGAAGACGGTTGTCGTGCACTTAGAATAAGCCCTTGTCCGAGTAATGTACAAAAAGCTTCATAAGCTCTGCTGCTCAAACAACGAATCAACAATTAAATGCTCTGCCACGGCACGATCATCCCGACAAGACCATCACCACTAACCTGAACGCTCACGCCCAAAAAGCTATCCATCGCCATTACTTCTCTCCTCCCATCGTCCTGCCACTCCGATCAACTCTGCACACCTTCTCATCATCGTTGGCCCTTCAGTCCTGTTCAAATCACTCCTGCCACACCGTTGTCACACTATGGGTCTGATGGCGACCAATAAAAACGCCTGTTCGCCTAAGTGAACAAACTCGCTAGAACTTTTCATGCTCAGTGTCAACATTTAGGAGAATCTGGGAAGTTGAAAACCAGTCTCAGATACATACATATAGTTCTCAACATTCATGGTGAGCACAGCGTACATTTTGGTTGAACTTTAAGGTTCACTGATTTTAATCGCTGTGTACTCACGAGTTCGTTCGACCTGGCCATCTTAGAAGAGGCATCTTGGTTAGGTTACCAACTGGCTAAACTTTCAAGCCATTCGGTTTGCAGTCACTTGTTGTGATCTGCACTGGGTAAGAAGTGTCCAGAAGTGTACATGACTCTCTGTATAGGATACAGCCCCAAAAGTTTCCTGCTAACTCGTAGCACTTATGCCAGGTTTGGCATTGTTCGTTAAAGTTGTTGAGTGATAAAAATATCCGTTATCAAAGGAAATTCCTTTGGTCGAAATTTTTGCTTCATTTCCGAAGCAGCGAAGAATGGTAACATATTATAAAAACTGCTTTAGATTTCCAAGTACATGCCGTGTTTCAAGTTAGGGCTTAAACCAGCTTTCTACTGAGTTAGCATTTGTGGGAGCTGTTACCACGTCATTCTTAAAAGCTCTGTCATTAATCGAAAAGAGAGTCCTCTCGATCGTAGGTACGACAGATAGAGGATGTTAATTCTACGAACTGATGCTAAATGGAATGTGTCTGGGCACAAACTTTATTTCGCATTCGATGATATTTTCCCCCATGACTTGGTTCCCATTCATGCATATTTGAGTTCTATTTGTTTCAATATTTCTAACGTGCGATCATCCAGAACGTCGTCCTATCTGCTTTCGTCGTGATTTTAGTGTCTTGCATTGTTTACCCATTCTTGCTGTATTCTAGGATCTCATCCACTGGGGTTTGAAACAAGCGTAACGGTAGGTTGTGTAACCCCACTTCGCAAACAGCAGCCCCACGGTCGTGTAATATGGCGATGGTGTTAATAAGGGTTTTACGGGCGGGACATCACCGCAGAGGGGGACGAAATGCATGCAACAGAACTTAAAAAATAAATAGATATTCAGTGGAATCCATCTTCTGCGCCTATGTATAGCAACCGAAGTGAGCGCGCTAATGGACAAATAAACGATAAACAACCGCTAATAAATAAAAGGTAATCGAATAATCCACTGCCACTTGCGAATTTGCGAAAGTTCAGGAACCAGTGGAACGAATAACCAATAGAAGAGAATAACGTTGAGGGCCAAATATTGCAACTGTGAAAGTTTAATGACTACTGTAAAATAAAAATATAGGGAAAATAAATGTTTACGTGTAAAGGTTGCGGGCAGTAAGGGTATTCATTTTTGAACAGCGTAGGTAATAATGGCCGTCCTACCCTTCTAAAATACAGACCATCCTCTCCAGGTCGCAGATAATTTAAACAACAGCAGCTTGATTTTTTGGCCAAAGCGGAGGAAATAACTGAAGGTATAAACGTGACGGTGGTGGAATACTGCTATGCAAGGGGACTGCCATCTACTACAGCAAAATGCCAATGTGGACGTCAAATGCGCCATCAAGTAATGAGGCTGCATACCGACGGATATGCATTCCGGCGCGGCCGACGTCGAACGAGGAAAGCTCTAAGGGCTCTGGTGACACGTCGTAGACGGGGTTCAGTATCGTTTTTGGTTTGGCCCAGACGGCGTTGGCCTAAAGCATGCGTGGAAAATATTTCTGTTGCATGCCGCGCAAGGATAGCCGGTGCAGTGGCTTTCCGAACAGGGGGTCTGAAGGGCTCCTTTCGGAATGTCCTTTAACGACCGTTTGTACGTAAATTTTTGCATATAAACTCAAATGACTTTAACCGTCTTACTATTAGTTATTCGAGAGACCACGCACAAGTACTCTCGAAGAAGTAGGCTAGCCATGGCGTACGCGTCTAACAACAAAGACCGTTCGGAGATAACATGGATGCTAAGCGTGTTTACTCTAACTGAATCAAAGTAAACCAAAATGCTGTCAAATACCCTTACAAAACGCGTAGTATGGTGAGTTCCGATATGGCACAGGAAGTTTAAGCTAGCCTTTTTAAGAGGTTAATAAGTCATAGCGAACACGTTCGACAGCCGAGTCTTTGTGTTCTAACCAAGGCTCAAACTGAGACAACTGCCGTTGCGGTAGTTGCATGCTCCACTTCTTTGAAACGAGAACCTACGGCCCGCATATTCGACCCTAATTATGAAAGACTGCAAGTATGCCTAGCCTACCATTAATAAAGACCAGAGGACGAAAGAGATGTTCGTTAGGAATACTGGCAATCCAGTGACCGCGAATGTGCGAAAAGCCAAAATTCTCCTCCTGAGCATCCAGGCATAATCACCATGCCCAAATCCTCTGATTTTACGGACATACTGTTTGGCATGCACCGACACCCCAGTATTAACCCGTTTCCATTTATACTTTCGTACTATGGTAAGATAAATCCCAGTCAATCCAAGTGAAAAAATATCAGCCCACTAATCTAGATTACTGCGATTTGCCCTTATTCATGTTTTCATAGTTGCACCAATCACTTTGGTGTTCTGATAGATTTTCATAATTCATCTGATCCAGTTTCATCTGATGAATTCAGGTCAAATGAAATATGCAAACCTCCATAAACGTCCAAAACTAAATGAGACTCTTAGCCCTCTCGGGAATTTCGAACTGATTGCTGCTACTTGAGCAGTCCGCTAACTGCAGCTGGATTGACGGATTCCATTTTTTGCAGTATGTTGGTCGCGTAACTTGACCCAAATATGATAAAACTCATTGCTTCCGTCCAGGGCCTCGTATTTTGGATGGTTAGACCGTCGGCTGTACTCAGGCCTCACACTTGTTATCGTAGGTTCGAACACCACCAAAGCGGCCGAGTTTTTCGCAATTGGATCAGACAAACACCAACTTTCGTCCTGCGTTCTCTGCGGGAAGCTGCCAAAGGACAGAGGGCGGCTGGTCGACTTTCCTCCAAAAACAAACATATTATCGTTTTACACATTTTTACACATATGCACTGACAACGTTCGATGCAGACAACAAATATGGCGGCTGGGTGAAGAAATGACAAGACTGACAGGACAGTTGCTGTGATTAATTGTCCATCGATCATAACTTATCTTAGCGTGCGTAAATGTCAACGCTCTCGCCAAACGTATATCCAGTCTCTGCACAGAAAATAACAGGCAATATTTGGTTAAATGCTGCAGACTAACAAGGCATATATATCTAGAAGGGATTCATAGGAAGGTGAGTAAGTGACATTCAGCTGTCTAGGAGATCGCGCAAATAGTTTAGTTTACACGTCTAATAACTGTAAACTCTGCGCATTCCGAAAACTAAAGATCGCAACAGAAGCTTCGTCGTATCTGACGACATTAATATTAATACTTGCGGAAAAGTTTTGTTTCGGATTTTCTTTGTCAGAAAGAAAATTAATTTTGTCTTTTTTAGAAGAGGGATAAATAGTTTTCAGCAAGGATGTCTTCTCTGTGGGAATGAAAACATTCTGCGCCACCTTTATCCTGGTAAAGATTTAATCCAAAGAAAGCTGGAAAACGGTTCAGGCGGATTTACTTTAAAAAAATCAAATGTGACTGAAAGGTAATCGGGGGATTTAATAGGAAAATTCACTTCGCTATCTTTTCACAGAAGCACACGAGAAAAGGCTTGCCTGAAACGCCTGAGCGGATTCTTCTTTCTTTCAGCTCCTAGCAGCGGTCGCTCATGTCGGCTCTGGAATTCAATTTCTTCCATTTTCGAAGGGGTGGAACGTTCCATAACGGTTAATATGACCGGTATAATCACGCAAAAGACAAGTGATATCAAGTTCCAAATGCGCACACCAACAACCTATAGGGAAGTATATTGAAGAAGCCATTAGAAGCATATTAGCGTTAAGCCCTTACACATCTTTTAATAACAACATGTGCGAAGCGCGCAGATCTTCCATCCTTCATCCCAACCCCGGTAAACCGCACTTCCCGCTCTCTCTTCGGTCCTCGTAAGTCATTGAGGCCTTCCCATCCTTCGATCTCGGCTGCAAAGATCCTACTTCCACTACCAATTTCTTTTGACAGGGGATGTTGCCATCAATGTGAAAACTGCTAGTACATCCCTCTCTTTCTCCAAGAATCTCCCCTTTATTATTACATGTCCAATCTATCCCAGATGAACAGGAAAAGGGTCGGTCTGTCTTAGCCAATTCTGAAAGCATTGTGCCGACATGTCTGTCAAATGACATTGAATTTCCACCATCCGACTGTTGCGTGGTTGCTCATACATATATCCGTGGAATATGAAGCGCCTTAGAGAGAAATAAAGGTCGCCTCGGAAGAGACCATGATTTCGTCCAAATGAATTTTCCGATACCGAGGACGCGCGAGGAATTGAGAGGCAGATGGGTCGGAAATAAAAGTCGGATAATAATAGATGCTCACCCCAAAGGACAGTGGGTCTAAAACGGATACCGTTTACTTACTCACTGTGACCCCAGAGACTGAGATTATATTGTTTTAGAAGGCAGATTAATTCGTTGCGTGACCACTTCAGCTCTGTGAACCTGAAATAGACTGGAAGTAATATATACTATATGCGTAAAACCATGGACGTATACAGTTGGAGCTTGGTAGTCTCACGGTGAAGTTTCTGCAGAGACTCTTGCGTCGCCCATATCTCTGACGTAGGAGCATATTTGACTGGGAATCTGTAAACGGCAAAAGTACATACGTCTTTCGGGTGCAGCCCACAAATACTGCCCACTCTAAATTTTGACTAGTAAAAAATACCCCTCGACAGAAAATATCTTTAGAAAAACCAGCAACAGTGCATACAAATCAGTCTATTACACAACAAAAGAAGACCACCACCAATTTGCAATTTAGTACGGCGAATACAGGCCTGTTCTGTAGCAATTTTTCTCGTAGTAGATGCAGTTATCCCATGAACTTGTGTTTGGGTTGCTAATTAGACTGGGGTTCCTCAGATCAGTTGAACAAGGGGGGACGGAGATGCTGGAATGAAAGACAAGCATAGCCCGACAGCATGAAGTCGGCGGAGCAAAGAGCCCGATACAATCTGCATGCCTACGATGATCTGATTCGCTTATGATCACAGCAACTCCAGAGTCTGCGCAGGAACGGCTGGCGTAACATGGCTTCTTTGTTCTTGCTCCCCATCTAACAAACGAAATCCTCAACCCAGATGCTAGTGCACTTTGTCATTCTTTTTACCTGATGCGATGCTATCAAAGGCGTATATGTACCCAGCGCACTCTCGTCTGAAAGCTGCTACTGTCTTGTACTTCTGCTGATGCTTGAAGCCTGCAAAGTTACATGTCAGATTCCAAATATTTAAGTGAGCTCTACCTGGACAGACACCACCTTGAATGGTGCACAGTAGAATAAGGGCTGCTGGAAATTTCAGCTTCCGTTAGGCTTCATCTATGGCAATGTTTATCATGCAGCGCAACGCGTTTGGTTTGGCAACTGCGAGCAGTTTAATCACTCAGTCGTTTGGTGGCGGGGAGCACGCGATTCGGGGTATATGTGATGTCACCACCTACCTCAATTTGCGGCCACTTTCGACGGTGTATGTGTGGGGCTTCCTGAGACTCTTGCCTATGAAGAAATTTGGATAAGTGTCAGCTTCAGATAGGGTATGTATGCAGGTACTTCACCTCCTCTTTCCCCCTTTGCCCTTGCTACAGTCCATTTGAGTGTGTTGAAGGAGAGTCATGACACAAATGCATTTGCCTATAGAAGCGAAGGGACGAGTCCCATGATGGGTTCGAGCAGGAATCCGAAGCGTCAGGCAGATAAAGCTCTTGTCCCAACGATTGTGACTCCTTCATAACTGCATTTGCGACCCACGAGCTCATTGCTTCTGAAGCGGAGAATATGCCCCATGCCTTATGATAGACGGTTATGCTTACTTTCCTGTTTGCTGATGTAATGACGGTCGAAAAGAGTAAAAGGTCATGAGTGCCCACCAGAGATCGACTGCAGAGAGGTAAAAGCCCATCAGCAGACGTACAAATCAGGATTCGTGTGTCAAGCACGGTTACAGTACGATGCTGGTGGCAAAGTTGCATTAGTTGGGACAGAAGAAACGGCAACCGCACTATTCCGATGACGGAAAAGTATGAATAAAGCGCGGTTTATGACCCCGCGTTTTTTTTCGCTAGATTACGAAGGTAAGAATTTCAGAATTACACAGTGCGAGACTTGGAAGTAAGTTCCTGAAATATGACTTTTGAGGTCAGTTAAGATATTGTGAAGGGAACTTATTTGAATACAAACAACTGCCATGGAGTAAACGCGTAATGCTCTTTCTAAATCTATTAATGCTAAATCTGCAACGACGTTGCATACCGTACTCCAAAAAATGTACCAGCAAAGGGCCAGACACGTGCTTGACTGAAGTGTTTGCTACCGAATGAATCAACTGTGAGGTTCAGCTTAACAGTGGGTCCACCAGTGTTCTATATGCTAGATTTTGACATATGAACTCTAGATAAAGATCGGGTTATTAATTTCAGAAACTATTAAAGCTGTTGAATAGGAATTACCCGGTTATTAACCAGAAATTGATTCTATTCCACTCAAATGTCCATTGCAATTTTGGGGCTTACCCTTAAAAGCCTTATTTTGAAGATAATTCCAAGTTCTGCATTTGCTGTTTTCTTGAAGCATTATCTTTGCATTCATATTGGATCCATGTACGAGAAAGTAACGCCGGGGAAGCCGAACTGCTCTCCGTTGCGTCATTCAGCAGCAGAGGCAACGGCTGAGCACGTGTCTGGATTTTTAGCTGGTACCTATTTGAAGAGTGCGGTTTAAACTATTATCATATAGATGTGCTTATATATGTATATGAAAACAGGAAACTCACTAACAAGTCCTGTATTAATTTGTGCATATCTATGTCCCCACCCCCTTTGATGAATATAAATATATATATAGGCAGAATAGCATTACCGACAAAGACAAAGGAGACTGGAATGGCCATTTCTGGCTTATTAGCCGTCGTCAGCCAGCCATACCCAAGCCCGAAGTGTGGAACACCCGAGCCTATATATCATGCGCCACTGTGCGGCTGCTGGTTGGGCTCGAGAGAGAGTTTATAAGGCATAACGGAACGAGTGAGTTCCGTATGAACGATCGGTGAGCGCCCCCTACCACTGTATATTCCCGATCGAAAACCGACAGGGCAACGGGCTCGTGGCCCGGTGGGTAGAGGCGTGGACTTCTAAACCAACAGGTCGCGAGTTCGAGGCTCGGGTGTTCCACACTTCGGGCTTGGGTATGGCTGGCTGACGACGGCTAACAAGCCAGAAATGGCCATTCCAATCTCCCTTGTCTTTGTCGATAATGCTATTCTGCCTATATATCATGCGCCGCTGTGCGGCTACTGGTTGGGTTCGAGAGAGAGTCCATAAGGCACAACTGAACGAGTGAGTTCCGTATGAACGATCGGTGAGCGCCCCTTACCACTACATATATATATGCTTTTTTTCAGAAATTTTAAAACTGCTTAGGAAATTATAGCCTATTCATAGTTATAATTGGTAGACTGTGGCGCGTTGACCACTGTGGGTCGACAGGTATAGCCGAAGACTTCGCTACGATTGACAGCTCTTGTGATGCTGATGGTTTAGGCCTCAATTTACTAAAAGAAAGATCAACTAGTCGTTAGATTCAAACGTATCTGTGGGGTGCGTAAATAGGAACTTACCAAAATATCGAATTTCTCGAAGGTTAATTTTGGTGAGCAGAAGGCAACGACAGGCCAGAAGATAAGAAACCAGACCATGCCTCCCAGAAACGCCAGCATCGTCACTCTTCTGGTGAGTTTCAGTGATCGCCTCACCTCCCTGAGTGTTGGCTTCCCCTCGCTCAGACGCGGTGAGAAACGCATATCTAACTCACTGTTTTGATGAAAATATGAGCTAATTTTAGTGGATCATTCCCAAGCAATGACGTAGCGCAAATAGATCGTTTTAAACAGCGTAAAGTATTTCATATTTAAAAATTTCTGTTTAAAATATCCTGCTAGATCAAAGGATGAGTATCTCGCTTGTGACAGCCTTTCTTGGAAAATTTCAGTCAGAAGTATCATGCGTCACCTGGAAGACTGTTGCACTTCACTCTGCTTTTCTTCTTTCGGCAGGCTGACTTTTAAAATTTTTCCCTTTGCACTCAATTTGCCAACCTTTCTAGATTCGATCTTGCCTTAAATATGCGTCATCTGTTTGCTTATTCGCTGTAGCCACTTCGTAACTGATTGACTACAACAGTACCCTTTCAAAGAAAATGATTACTCGCATCAGTGGCTCAATTCAACTGCTAAATGCGACGTATTTTCTGCCTATCTTAAACACATATTTTTGAATGAAAACCTTGATTACTTCTAAGTAAAAACGTTTTGCCTCTCCCACTCCGCCAGTGGCAAAGCGCTAATATATCACAGTTTTGCCAAAGTAATCATACTTGATATAGACATACATCAGTATCACAAATTACCCGATTTGCCTAACAAATTTCAATTCAAATTTGGCGTAACATGCGCTTAATCCTTCGGCATCGCGTCTTGGATATGCTGCATTTATGAGCATTTAGAACATCCGCTGCGGTCTGCATCCTACAACAGATAATAAGTGCCAACTTCATGTCTTACAAACGCAATAACTACGTTGGAAAAAGAGCACACGAAGCACGTAGCGCCTCCAGGGGACTGATGCTTAGGGATCTAAATATAAAGACTAAGATTGTCTGGCTGGCAAATACAGAAAGATGTTTACCGCATACAACTTGTCAGTACCACAACCCCGATTACATCATTTGTTTGAAGATCCTAACTACTTCTCTCGCACAGATTCAAAGGTCATGGATCAAGCAAAATTTGCGTTTGCTAGACTGTACCAGTCATTGATATTACACAAGATTTATCAAATGCAGTTTAAGCTAAACGTAGCCAGTTCCTTCCAATAATACTGTCTCCCTATTCGCTCTCTCTTCAGTATGAAGTATATTACACAGAGAGTGAACCTGACATACTGGCAGTAGACCTCGGGCCAGGGAGTAAGTGGATTGTCTATATTTTGTACCGATGTCCACAGCGCCTGTTCGTCCTCTTCATGAATACGAGGTGCACGAAAAAGACACCAAACAGTGGGAAAGACGAAACCGCCGATAAAAGTGCAAGCCGTACATTGAAGAAGAACTGGGTCTATAATTGAAGTAAGCAGTAAATGAACACCGGAAAAATAAAGAAAATAGAATGGAAAAAAGTCATATCCTCACTGAACCTTCTATCAGTTATTTAGGAATTATGCACTTACTAAAGTGAAATATATACAAATGCGTGGGTTTACTATAACCTGACCAAGTTCAGTCAGGTAGGTAATTACCCGTTATTGACTCCTGCCCCTTACCGAGATCTAGCGTGCTTGGGGAAGTCACTGGTTCAGTGAGCACCTATTATTACAGACGCGATCGGCAGTAACACAAAAACGTCTGGCGAGGTAACGATAAACCTCGACCTGATGACATGCTTATGGCGTATCTGAAAAACACTGCCTATGGGCCATTCGCATAATGCCAAACTATCTACCAATGTGTTGGTCTTAAATGGTGGTCGGGATTAGTATTCGCTGACTAAAGTACTGTCCGAATCTACGCTTATTTCTGACAATAACTCCCATATACTTTCAAATGGGTCAAAAATTACGCACCCCTGGCATAAAGAAGAAAAGACAATCACTGGAACCACAGATTTAATTTCCTGTGTTGTCGAAAGCAGACGGGTCCCCAGTGTCGAACAGAAATTTAATCCCCCATTTAAGTAGTTGAAAGATGCTGTCTATGCCGATGTTTCGTCATCCTCAGAGGCTGTCTGTGTGGTCTGCAATACATGGAGAGTATTTTTTGTCGTGGAAGTAGCCTGCTTCCAATCCCTTGTCGGTAAAGTGGGAAAGGAATTGGGCTTCGCTGCTAATAGAGCTTTTCAGCAATGGCCATAGTCACTTAGCCTCTGTCCAGGCCTCATGCATCTCGTCCGTGTCCCTGTTTACATGTCCGATGCCTTCAGCTCCACCCACCGTAATGACAAATCACTAAACTCTACTGCCACAACCCTATACGCCGTCACGATTCTCATTGTCACGGACTTCGCCTTCTCAACTCTAAACGTTACAATGCTTAGCCACAAGTAACAATCGTTCTCGTTCCTGTCATAACCACAGTCACCACCATCGCCGCCGCCATTACTGCCTCTACCAGAACCACCACTAGCTGCAGCAACATAGGCAGAAATCCATTCTGTATACGTCACGAGCGCGTATTCAAATTACGCAATAGTCTGGTCAACTACATGCGAATCCATCGTAGCATGACAGGAAAACCAGTGCATGGGGCTTTTACCTACAATCTTCACACTATCCTTCCGTGACCACACTTTGCCCACACATGTAGCCACCTCATGGGCTTATTCGGTCATATGCGCATTCACGAAAATCTCGAGTAAAACAACGCAATCCCCGGTTAGATGGGATTATGTTGCCCCACCTGAAGTAAACAAACCCCAGCCACTTGTAATAAGGGACCGTTGGTGATAGATGTTTTTACAGGTGGGGCGGGGGAACGCACAGGCGACGAGGTCAAGTAGTTGTATGCAACAGAAAAATTATTAGGGATGCGCGATTGGATTTTGAATGGTTGGGAAATAGTTGCCTTACCCCTAAGCTTAACCCTAACCATAACCCCTAGCCCTAACTCCAGACCCAACAGTATTGTATCCATCAGGTGGGGCTACATAACCACATTTTATCCAATCCCCTCCCCTTGGAACCCCAAAAGACCTGTACACGCCGACATACAGACTGCACACGGGTCGGCCCGATCACACGACTACCCAAAGAGGAATATCGTTCATACAAACAGCCCCTGTATGACATACGAAAGACAGAGGCTTCACGTCCTGTCAGTCACTGCACCCAATTTCATTTGCGATTAGCTTGATGGAAGAGGGATTTGACAGTGAAGTCAATACTAGCGCAACAAACCAGCGCATTTGTCAGTATAGTACATCTGACGCACCTGAGTCAGTTACGACGCGCCATGTATCGTAGCTAGACAGGTTCCCAACTAGTGTGACAACTTGGTCCATTCCAGAACTGAGGGTCAAGCTGCAATAATTTCATGTTAACCTGGTCTACATGATAATCCCACCTATGTGAGATCTGAGTCGTCTTCATTGCGGACTGGTACAGATGAAACAGGACTAGGGCGTGAGTGGCTCGGGCAGGCAGACTGCTTAGCTTCGTCGGCCACTGCAAATGCGCCCGACTTCAGCCATCCTGGCTCTGCCTTGTCATCGGCATTCAGTGAGTGTAGGGGAAGCGAGGGGTGAGTCATCACAATTCTTGTTCCATTGCAAACAATTTCACGTACAAGTCACCGCTGCTTAGCCCGCCCAACTGGGACAGCGGTGGGAGTCGCCGATTACGAAGGCCGAATTATCATACCTGCAGAGTGTCCTGCTTGGCTGTGGTAGTGGTGATAAAACATAAGTCGTGTCCAGTCATCGGGAAAGTAAACTGCCGCCAGACGAGATGTCTCATGTGGTTAGATTTACCGGTCTATTTGGAAATCAACTTGCAAGTGGCCATAAGAATAAGGGCGTCGACGGGTAGGCGGGCCTGCAATTTTCGTCTAATTTCCCCAGAGTGGTTGTAATCCCTATCATTGCAAACTAATTTGTAGACAACTGTGGGACTTCTGTGAGTGGCAGCGTATCCTTAGGTTGCATCAAACGGCGACGTATTACTGCCTGAAATAGACGGATTATGCCTACCCTGGTGGAGTGTAACCGTCACGAAACGGCCTCGACATTTTCCTTAATGTGGGGACTGGCTCCCCGGACTACGGGTTGTTGCCCCTTTGGCCGCCGTTAGTTCGCTCCGCGTCGCCTTTACTTGATAAAATGGTTTGAGTATATTTTGACTCTGGAGAGGTCCTGAACGTCTCGTCCTTTAACATTTTATCTGTTGGTGTGCTGCAATGTTTTTAAACTCTTTGGAATGGAGTGCTTCCTTTATGATACAGACACAAATTGCCTTCGAAGCGTAACATCTGCCTTGTGTCCGTGGAACGTTGAAGAATAGGAGTTGATTGTTTGGTTTGGCTTCCATACTGAACTGGATATTCGGGCCAATGGAGTTGGACGATTTTTTAAGGTGCTCAGTTTGAGTTTTACCGGCAAAGGTGGAGGTGTTGTGGAAATAACGAGCCCAGGACTTCGGTTGTTATTTGGTTAATATCAGCTTCTCTATTCCTTGACAGACCACTTTATAGGAACCCAAGTCTTTCTCAAACCGATTCGGCCAAGTGAGAAAGCACTTTGATTTGCAACGTTTATAATTTTGGGATTTTGAATGCGCTGTACATCCGTTTTGTCCTCTGAGTCGCTATCATTAATTTTATCAAGGCCGCTCATCAGAAGTGCAACTCTATCAATATCTATTAGATTAGTATATGAACAGCAGAAGGTCAATTGTGCAACTACTTGAATCGGCTTCCGAGAAGGCACCCAGCAATTAGCCTGCAGCCCGTAATAACAATTGAAAACGCGTTTAAAAAACCAAACTACTCGTTCGCTCATGTACCAAGATTTGAAGGGAACTAATTCTCCATAAAATTTACATCGGAGGCGAATTTTTGCATTATTTCCGTAAAATCCGATTTTGTTTATGCAGACGCCCAACTGCAATTGAAAGGTGTGCAGTGATTAAATAGATAAGACTTCTGAGGAAAATGTACGCAGGTGACCGTGAAGGCGTTCATTCGAAGTCAGAGCGTAGTCATGCAGGGACTGAGATTGGATTTTTTGCCCTCTAGTTAATTATACGACCCTCTCTTAGTAGTCTCTTCCCCTTGAAAACGCAAAGAATACTGTCGGTTATTTATCGCTAGGGTTACACTCCAAAACATCCTACGCGATGACATAGCAACTAACAACCAAAAACGCATAAGCAAGGCCGAGAAAAGTAGGAGCATTCAAATGACCACTTTTGACTTGTCAGTCGTCGTCAGCCAGTGCTACTGCATCTGGATTTTGACAGCAGTCAAGCGCTCCTACCATTGAGATTACAAAACTCGCGTTCTGTCGACTGTGCCTGTTGGTGTGTAATGTCACGTGGCAGTTGCGTTTATGACAGTCCGCCCCTGTGGTCAACAGCGTGACCGTTTACTCACGGATTTCTGTCCGCTTCACACTCACTGCGAAGTCGATGCTGAAACAAATTCAAACGCTCAACAACTACTAGAGGATGTTGATAAGTTGGCTGCATGGTCTATCGCGTGGCTTCTAGTGTTTACTGTATTCAAATGTGTAGTCTTCTGTCTGGAATCTGGTTGGAGGCGCTTCTTGAAACTCCAGTACACCATAAAAGGGTTCCGCTGGAAGAAGTGGACACGCACAACCAACTACGTGTCCGGACAAGTTCCAACTTGTAGTGTTGATTGCATAAAATTTCGTTTATAATCTCGACCGTACATGAGAAGGACCATCTTCCGCTCAGCCTGTGACTCACAAAAAAGCTGCTTGTATTAGGGTTGCGGTTCCGTAGTCAAAGCATTTGTATGTTACTGACAACATCTTAGTAGCATGTCTATTTAGTACCAAACTGTCTGCGGGTCATCGAGGACATTGCCTGTTTCCCTAAATATACAATACTTTACTCGGCAAAGGCCAATCAACGCTGCGCCTTCCTTGATTGGGTGTGGGTGGGCAGAACAAGAGCACACACACGCTAGAGACTACGAATCTCACTGGTGAACACTAAAACACAATCCTGAGGAGACGGCTGGCGGTAACTGCTTGTTAAGCTGCCTATACTGTATTTCGCCTCAGTAACGTTTGTCCAATAACTATATCACGCCTGACTTGTGATTTGCGAACCTTGCGTTGTCGGCTCATCGCACTTTTGAAACGTTCGCCGATCCAACCTGATTGTAGGATGGAAAGTGTGCCAACATTCTGTTCAGGAGCACTAGGCTTAGAGGCTGCATGGACAATCAAATGGCGACCAACGATCGATGATCGAAGGACATTGCCGATTATTAATTAATATTCAAGCTTATCGTCAGTACGTGTAGGTTACCCAAAATTTCATCTGGATCGTCCTCTTCCGTCATGCAATGGAACAACCAGATTGCTGCAGCCACAATGGAGCTGCAAAAGTAGCCAAAGATGATTCCACTTCTGGTAAGCCGTGACCAGAAAAGAGTCAGTATGATACAACCTGGTGTCGCCCCGCAGAAAATAATGTACGTTTTCTGGAGGATATCGGCGACTGTCTAGAAGGGAGGAGAGGGGTAAAAAACAACGACTGTAGCAGCAGTAAGGGCGCGCAAACATTTCATTGGGTATGAATTCCGGTTTTTTGGATCGACTGTTCTAATTATTTCTCATATCGAGTTCGGAAGTCAGGCCACTACGGCCGGCAAAAGAGTATGCTTGCAACAAGCCGACCTAAGGGGTTACATGCGAAAAGTTATCAGACGCACACTTAGTGACCATCTCATTCATTTGAAAACTGCTTTTATTTGTATGTGAATATGAACTCCGTGTGCTGCGTGAAATCCCTTTATGCGTGCGAACAAAAGGTATAAATTTTTATGCGTATTACTGTACATGTATCGGAATTAAAATTTCACTTCGCGCCACGCATAACGCAAGTAACTGGAGCAGAAACTGCCATGTAGCTTTGATTTGATAATACCTCCGATTAGCAATATGGGGACAGAAGAGACAGACTCTGGCCAAAAGAAAAAATGCGCATGTTTTAATGTATGGGGATGTTCACCAAGCAGTTTATTTGAAGTGTGATTTGAATCTTAGCAGTAGGAACAGCAGAGAATAAGTGTGACAGTCCGAGAAGGTAGAGATCACACTTTTGCATTCGAAGATGTAGTGTCAGTGAAACCTGACTTTAAACCTTTAGTTGAAAGTTGTTACACCTCAACCTGCCTGGAACGAGCGGAGATGGCATTAGAATAGTAAGTAACCTTAATACATAAGATAACTTCCTGAAAAAAGTATAAGACCCCGACTCAAATTAAAGTTCTTACTGCAGTCTTCAAGCCATTTGCTGTTTTCATTTCGAGCAAAGATATATTTACGAAAACTGTGTTTTCCTGCACATTTTTTAAAAAACAGCTTCCAACTCCCTATACCCAGACTGAATCAATTTGCCTCCTACAAGCAATGCGCCAGTGATGTAAATCCTAATCTAAAGCACGAATAAAATGCGTATAAGTATGCGCATCTCTAGGTCACCACTTCCTAAACCGATTGTTATGTGCACTGCATGTAGAAAACGTCTCTTAAATAAGCCTCAAGGCAAGCAAAATTCATGCGTTTCACTTTTTCGTTACCCAGTAAACTATCCCTGTTGTCCCATGTCACCTATGCTTTCGTTTCGGTTCTCTACCGTGGATACTGCCGAGTCCAAATTAAAGTTTTTGGTGTTTCTGTGACAATATCCATCTGAATAGTTCGTAGAAGTGTATTTCGCAAGAAAACATGAGCAGAACAATAGACAAATTTCTGCGGTTTTTTCCCTTTAGGAGTGAAACGAAGTTTAATTCGACGCCTAACTAACTGAGCTAGGATAATGCGCACTCTGGGCACGCTGGAGAACGAATTCGCTTTTATACAACACATTCTTCGAAAAAATGGTTTTCCAGGAAGTTCATCACTGGATTCCCGATAGAATACCAGTCAAAAACTGAGGTGTTAACGGCTGAAAAGAAGAAGCTATGAATTAGCGAGGTAGTATGCATTTTGAGATGATATAATAAAAGGTGAAGGCTCGTCGGAAAATCGAGGTATACTCGTGAATTTTCAAGTCGGTTACACCAACCCGTCGAAATGAAAAGTGTGAGGGAGATAATCGCACTAGGGAGCTCGGGGAGCCTCGAGGTTACATCAGCAAAACAGACGTCTCTGTGTGGGGGTGAAGAACGTGCTTGGATAGGTGACGGACGTTAGAGGAGGTGTTGAGGGTTTCACACATGGTTCACTCTGTGGGGGAGGTGCTGAATCCGGGATATTCTACATGACCGAACACGGATTAGCAATTGGCGTCTTAGGGTGGGCGCAAGCCGGCGAACCATGAACCTAAACCTTCGTGGTGAGCGTCCAAGTCGACATGGCGGTTGATGCTCTTGTTATTAGGGTGCCAGGCTTCTAGAAACTCTCGAGCCTGTTTGGTGTTGGCACTAGCGATGACTTCAGTCCTCTCCGAGTTGAAGCGGGGATCCCACTCAAGGGCGTGCGCAAACACGAGAGACAAGGGATCCCGTCGGCGGATGGCCAACTTATGTTCGTTAATGCGGGTCCCAAGTCGTCAGCCGGTATGTCCAACATAAACGCTGGAGCAGTTTGCACATGGAATGCAGTGAAGGACATTTGTTTAATTTCGTCTGATGACGGGTTGGTGTAACCGACTTGAAAATTCACGAGTATATCTCGATTTTCCGACGAGCCTTCTTCTTTTAGAAGAAGCTATCTCTGACCTTCCCATTTTGAGGGCTGCCGGCAAGCGAACTTCGGCAACGTCGCCAAAACGCTCGAAAGCCCTATCCAGGCGCCAAGATAAGATTAATTTTTTCAAGCACGCCGCCTCTTCGTCTTGATGTGCATCTACGCCATCACCTGGTCCTGTGAGGATAGTTATATTGGTCGAACTACTAGGCGTCTATCCAAACGGATGTGAGAGCACCATCCTGCGTGGCTAAATCAGGACATGAAAAAGTCCACCTCCAACCCCCATCGTGGCTCACTTGGTTGAGGGCGGCCACCGGATAGGTGTCAGCCAAGCATCTCAAGTCATCTATAGATCCCCGGCGAGGGACCCCAAGTTCCTACGTCAGCCGATATCTTTGATGGCAGAGATAGTTATCATATGGTAGGCCAGTCCAACCGTACAAGCCCTCAAGCTGCTCTGGTCGAAACTGAGCCATATACAGTGAGTGACCTATCTCATGAAATGTTGGCTGAAATTCTGAAATGCGTTTTCAAGTAGGAAGGATTACTTCGTCGCGGTTGTAATACTGACTATCTTGCGGCATACTCTTATAACATTTCGGATTCGGTAGGATGTCGGCTTTTAACTGCACTTCTTTTCAATCTCCTATAGAAAGCGTACTCGGTAGAAAATGACTACTTAGGTAGCATGCATTTTTCCCATTGATTTTCGATGGTCTTGCGAATTCTAATATATTTTATAGAAACCATAAATAAAAATATGCTTTCTTTTAGTCAATCAAAAGAGAATCACGACTTCTTTATATTTTATACTTAAGAAGGACGTATAATTAGGTTTTAAAAAAGTTTTCCAATCGCCGAATAATTTGGAGTCTGATCATTCGTTGCATTAGAGCTTAGTAATTTCAGTCTGCGAGGTGCATGCGTTCCGCATAAAGAAAATCACATATTTTTCTATGCCATTAAAGAGATATCATACAGAGTCCATAGAATTTTGCAATGGATGCGGACCATGTTGTTTATTTCATGAGGAGCAGTGGTAACCGGCCAGGTACGATGCAATGTGAATTGACATTTCGCGGTCTTAAAAAATCTCATAATTGGAAACTTTTTTAAAACCTAATTATACGCCTTTCTTAAGTATAAAATATAAAGAAGTCGTGATTCTCTTTTGATTGACTAAAAGAAAGCATATTTTTATTTATGGTTTCTACAAAATATATTAGAATTTGCAAGACCATCGAAAATCAATGGGAAAAATGCATGCTACCTAAGTAGTCATTTTTTACCGAGTACGCTTTCTATAGAAGATTGAAAAGAAATGCATTTAAAAGCCGACATCCTGCCGAATCCGAAATTTTATAAGAGTATGCCGCAAGATAGTCAGTATTACAACCGCGACGAAGTAATCCTTCCTAATTGAAAACGCATTTCGGAATTTCGGCCAGCATTTCATGAGATAGGTCCCTCACTGTACGTTCGTACCCGCAGAGTGCCACATCGCACTACAGCGACGAAACATAAGCGCTAACCACTACTAGACTTCCCCTTCTCCCGTGCTCCTTCCTCCCATGCCCTAGACAGAACTAGACTATAACTACCCCTAATATCTGATATGGCTAAACGCCGTCAACCCTCTCCACCGACTGCCATTAATTAACTGTTTTCGAACTTTCACTGCTTTACCGTGACTTCGATCACTGTACAGGCCGAAGAATTTTTCCCAATAGAACTTTCAGAAGCACGGGTGAAAAAGGTTAAAAAGTCCGAGGCCGAAATGCATTACGATAAACTTTCGAAATCTGAGGATTATTATTCAAATTGTCGGAGATGAATTCTAATCAGCGGAACGCCTCCGTGATCTATAACGTCTTGGCGACGAAAATGATACTTGATATATTTCTGCCTTCCATTACTACAGTATTTTCATTCTGGTGATTCTCCAAGCAAGTAAGATTTTCTAACGGCTATTCCAATTACTTACCGAAGCCAACAGTCCTTCATACCATTAATAAGTTTGTGTGAAACTTGGAAGCACCTTCCAATACTTAGCAATAGTAGCCATATGCAAATTACTGCCTAGGGCGGTTGGTCAACTAATAAATGGAACATTAGCTGGAAATACTCAAATTACCGTTCTTCCTGGGTTGGAAGAAGGTACAAAAAGGGAATACATTTGGCATGATTTGATTAATTACTTAGATTTTGTGAAATCTTACCTGCGACCCCAGCAACATAATTGAAAAGGGTACAATCCCAGCTAGAAACAGAAGCGTAATGTGCAAACGCATATGCCGAATGTTGTCCTGATAGGCACGGTATTCACCATGTGTGCGACAATAATAGGGCGTACCCCAATGTTTTGGATAAAATCTGTTCAACCTGTAAATGTAGAAAAGTTTTTTGAGACAGAAGTTATTCACACTTTTTGATGGCTTCTTTTACTCGTCTTCATTTATTTCATTCAATTAGAGCTTATTGTGCGCTGGCAATTAGGTCTCACAATGAAACTTATGTGGTATTTACTCTCGAAGTGGTTAGCGTACGAGACAACCAGGGAGCAATTAATTGTGGCTTCTATTTCAAATAACTATCGTCCACCCGTTCGCATCCTGAACGACAACTGTTCCCCCAGTTGGCCGCACTCGTTTAAGCAGTTTGCGTCTACATTAAAAACATCACTTAGCGTGAGGCTTCGTTGTCTGTTATTCTAAACACGAAGGTTTAAAAAATATATATTTTAGCCACGAATAAGATAAGTTATGACAGGTATCGTTGACGAAAAAGAAGTTCTTTAAAGTAGAAACCTGTGCTTATCTTCACATGAACAGATCCCCCCTATTCAAGCATATTCAAACGGGCGAACGGGATTCTGCATCGTCGCTGAAACTCTGCCATCATGCTCACGTACCCGGCCGCTAAGATAAAACTAGTTTTCACAAACACTCCATTTTTCGCCCTTCAGGTAAGAATGCGCATCTACGTCTTTACTTGCTCCTAAGGGGCAGGTTATATTGGTCGAACGACTAAGCGTATACCCAAACGGATGTAAGAGCACCATCCTGCCTAGCTAAACCAAGGTATGGAAAAGTCCATATCTTGTGGAACTGTGATTCACCTTCTTGAAAGCTGCACTGTCTAGACGTCAAACAAGTATTCCGAGTGATATACAAAGTTCCGAAGCGACATTCAAAGTTTCTGCGTCAGCGACAGTTGCGACGTCGAATGCTGTATTCACAGGTCATCCAACCCTACCTTGTGCTCGCATAAAGCGTTTGTACAGGCCCCAAGGTTCTCCTGGCCAAAGGTGAACCCAGCATTTGTGCCCACACCTCCTGTCGCGTCGCGCTGCGGCGACGAATCAGAGACTTGGCTCCTGTCATACAACTTTCCACTCCCCCTTCCTAAGCCCCTAACAGATCTAGACTATAACCCCTGACCTCTGAATGCCTTCAACCCTCTTCTCCATACTTGCTGTTTGTTATCTGTTTAAACGTTTGCCACTCTACCGCCTTTTATATAGCTGTGCTGTCCTGATTCTGAATAATCAAAAACGTATGTTTACCGAGACTGGCTTCTCAGATTTCCATATTATTTTAAACAGAACTTTTTCCCTGCAGGGAAATCATATATCTTCTTGAGTGACGAAAAAAAGGTCCTCTGATTCTCCTGGAGCATTGCGATAAATATGAATTAACAGGGATATGGCCGTGACTACTTACTCCGGAGAGTAATTGTGTTAAAAGAACATAACTGGCGATATTTATTGGTACGTGCCAAAGAAAGAAATAAAGAGACCTCCTGGTGACTGTTGCGTGAGTTTAGTCAATATGTTTTAAGGTACCCATCTGAGTAAAGGCCCGACAATGTAATACTTTCCTGGCAATGCTTTCATAGGGGCATTTAATTAATTTACTATTATAATTAAATAGAGAAAAATAACGTCCCTTTTTAATTGGTAAAAACGTGGAGGATCAAAATTTGGGATACCACAAAGTTCTTGGATGTTCAGCTCTTTCGCTCAACTCAACTGATCTCCGGAGTAAGTAACCCTGGTCATCAACCATACCCTTGTCTATGAAAAGGCTATTATATATCTCAAGAGCGGAGTTAATAAACGTGACATGTCTACGCAAAAACTAATGGTATCATCTGGGAAACTGTCACAATTACTAAGCATACCCAATTCTGTAACCAGAAACCATGAACAAAGCGATTTTTACGCATCCTCTCCAAGATATGGGATGGGCTGTACAGGGACATCAAAGGCCATCAAGGCTCCTAATATGGACACAATATGAGCGACCATTTTTCTTTGAGTTTCGCTTATGCAGATGTTCGAAAACATGTCAAGTTAAAAGTCAATAATATGCCGTGTGTGAATTAACGTGTGATTATGTCCTATGCTAATCTGAGTTCTTAGAGACCCTTTCTATTTAAACACAAACTTTACATTTTCAGTCGTGCAGGCATGATTTTGGTAATAAGAAGTGTTGAATGACAAAAATGGTCACAGTAGGAGTAGATAAGGTCGCCTCGTAACCACCAGCCTAGGTTATTTATAACTGTCTGTTTAGTTATCATCTGGTAGTTTTTTAAGATTTTGCTCGAGATTTTGATCTTAGTTGTAGCCATCACTTGGCATATGACAAAAGGTTATGCTGAATTACACGTTGTCCTTTTCGCAGTCCGAACAGTCCAGCATGCTGCAACAGCGACAAGCGGTATGTCGTCCAGAGAACTGGCCTCGTTGTTTTCCGCAGAGAAGACATTCGTTGCGACTGGTCAGTTTTTTATATGGCTGAATAACACAAATAAGCACTCTTATCATCACGATAAATACAATAACCCTAGAAGGCGCAAATGTAATAGGCAAGTTTGGTTTGCACCTACGCAATGTTTGCCGGTGTCAATGAATGGGAAAGTTGCATTTGAAATGAGTCAATAAATGATACAAATTGATGTTCACTTGGAAAGTGTGTGTATTTAGTACAAACTTTCGTGGATTTCTGAAAGTATACAACCATTTTTCTACGCACAGTCATCACTGTGTGTTTTTTTGTTTTTAAGCGCGAATTTGAATGTTAATTCTTTTTTACTCATGTCCTCTGGTTCCGACGTCAATTCGCCGTCTTAATATATGCCTTTGAAGGGTCTAAAAGATCTCATTGATAGCGCGGCAGAGTTATATGCCGATTCTCGTAATATGGGCACCTGTAACTTGCAGCCAGTGTGTCAAATGCATGGTCCCCTTACGCACTGTTCTCACTGTCTCCACAGCTACGATGTGTTTGCGAAGTTGCCACTTACTGGTCATAGTTTTTGATAACATTTCCGCAGAAGATTTTAATTGGCGCAGAGGGAAAGCTTTCCTTTTTTGTTAGGCGAGATCTGTGTAAAAAGCAAGATTTCCAGGCAGATTCCCAGGAGGCAGAGGAGGGCACAACATTTGAAACTGACCCGTTCGTCGAAACCGTCGCACTTATTGGAGGTTGTGTGCCCCCTTTGACCATCTTTCACGCATCCACATTCGTAATATTGGGACGTACACCGTGCACCTTGACGGCAAACGTATTACTGAACTTCGAACATGTAAAAGGTGGGAAGACCCTGTCAACCTGACGGTTCGACCGTCGTCTCTGGCGATGCACGCCTTGTGTCCTAAAGCAGGGTTGGCAGAGGAACTATGACTTGTATCTACCCCACTTTTTCCTCCTTCATGCACCAGAGCCTGATGTCAAAACAGAGACAGGAAGATTGGAAGCGGGATCCAGTGCAGACGGTTGACAAAACGAGGCTGTTCACGCGTGCCATACACAGGTGGTCCATGCACGATGAACCGGGTTTTCATAAAAAAGAAGAAGAGGAGCGGTTCGGGTCTCAAATTAATGGGGGCTGTGACGGAACCATTGCAGTCTGATACTCCCCGTCCGAGTGGAGGACCGAGTTATCCCGTCGTCTGACAGTCTTCCAAGCCACGGCCTCTAACGCACCGTACCAGATCCAAGTGCATCAGATTGTTTATATTGAGGAATATTAACTGATGGCATTAATCTCACTTCATCTCCTCTCTCTCTCTCAGACCTCCCCCCCTAAACTGTGCGAGCTGGTTTGTCAACTGATGCAAAGAATGGGCGCAGTGGCTGACAGATCTAAGAACAGCCGGCCTGCGCATTCCACACATGACAGTTCGACCGTCGATTTCGACGATGTCCACCGTGTGCCCCACAGCTGCAGCAGCGGTGGGAGCAGGGACGGTGACTTGCGCAGGGGTTTATAGTGCGGGTAGACTTGCGCTGCATCTACCTACACTCTCTCCACCTCCCCCGCCTGGGCCCGGTGTCAAGACAGAGTCAAGAAGACCGGAGACGAGGGAGGCCGCAGGTGGATGGCTCGGACGGATCCTCACCTTGGCGTTCAACCACACCCCCTGGTCCACACAACAATAACCAGGATTTCAACCAACACAACAGAGATTTGGAGGCTGGCACGGCCGAAGCCGCACCTGGGCGTGCCGCCAACGCCTGGCTCGGATCCCACACTGTGGTGGGAATGCCATAAAGGCCACATTAAAAAGGAGCCATTGCAGTCTGACTCTCAGACCGCCTCCCGTTGGGGAGGAGGTCCAAGGTATCCCGTCAGTTGGCAACCTTCCAAGCCACGGCTTTTAGCGCACCGTGATAGCTTCAAGCGCGTCAGATTGATTATAGTGAGGAAAATGCGCTGAGTCGTCGACCTCACTCTCCCTTCCCATTCCCACACCCCAGCCACTGTCCGAGCCGGTCAGTAGACTGGAGTGGGGAATGGGCGCGGTGGCTGACATGGTCGACTGACCATGACTGCGCGCGCCACAGCACGACCTGGCCCCCATACACACGCAAACACCAGGATTTCACACAACGGGGGTTGAACGGCGTGTCTCCCACTTGCGTGAGAGGGCCGTGGAAGGTGCTGCTTCAGCCCGTCCCCAGCCCACCAGTCCGCCACTACACACAACACACACACACAACGTGACGAACTGCGTGAACCGAGAGCGGGCCTCAATCAGCAACCTTCATATCCACGACACTTGACGTGTCGGGATAGTCTTGGACACAAGTCACCCGTGCAGCCGAAACCGCATGGGGACCGAGACGAGATGCACACTTCCCACTTGCGTGGGAGGCGGCAGTTGAGTGCATGAGGTGTGTGAGGGTTGATGTCTGGTGGGGTGATGGTGTTAGGAGGTAGGGGGTGAGGGAATGTGTGGTGTGACCGGCGGTTGTCTACCGTAGGTCGTCGTGGATGCGCATGTGGCCGAATAGACCCATGCGATGCGTGAAGGTGCGAGGGCAGTGTGGACAGTGGACGCGAGTGCAGTGGGTGTGGGTTGGTGCTCCAGGCACTGGTTCGCCAGTCTCTGTGCGATGGATTCGCAAGTGACCCACCAGGCCGATGCGTGAGGTGAAGGTGCGTGGGCAATGTGGGCATGAGAGGTCGGCGGTGTCGGTGTCAGCTGTAGAGGAAGCAGTGGTGTTGGTGGTGGTGGTGGTGGTGGTTGTGGTGGTGGTCGGCGCGTGTGACGGTGGAGCGAGGGTGCGTCTGGGCATGGTGGATATGTTGGATGTCGCGGCTATATCGGAATTGTGGTCAATTCCGCTCTCGTGGATGCGCATGTGGCCGAATAGACCCATGCGATGCGTGAAGGTGCGAGGGCAGTGTGGGCAATGCCCATTGCCCACACTGCCATTCCACACATACACACACACACACGCACACACACACCCACACACACAGCCTGCTCCCCCCGCAAAACACATCCTGATTTCGCACAAGGAGGTGGGCGGCTCAGATCTCACATGCGCGAGTAGGCCGTAGAGGCCACATCCAGAAGTGCCATTGCAGCCTGACTTTTCGCCTTATCCAGGTGTCCACTGAACACAGTACAGAACGCTTTTTACAGGTGGACAGGCGGCTTTTCGAAACCATTTGAGGCCTCAAAACCGAACAAGACTCACGGACGGTTTTGCAGTTGAGGACGTGATGGCATTTTCGTGGACGCGTTTGGTGGAGGATATGAGTCGGCGATTCATTGCTCTGTGCTCTGCTGGTACAAGGCTGTGTACTGTTACCAACCTAATGGATGATGGAGTAGTCCTTGTCCGTGAAGTTCACTACTTGTAACTTTAATATCATCTCCGTCGGGATCTTTTTGCTTTAACGCATCCCGGGCAGCATGAACACTGCTCCTATGAGTAATTTGCGGGTCTTAGTTTCATCTTGCTCATAGTCCGCATGACACACTCGCCAAAACAAAGCTGCTTGATGGTTTGCATGGTTGGGATTGGTTCCTGTTTAGCTTAATCAGCGTGTCCACTAAGAGCATGGTGGTCGGATCTGTTGGTCTTCCTCCTGAACATGATTTTTCACCGACAGGTTTAGAATATTTGATTTTTTATATTAAAACTTTTTGTTCTAAAGACTGGCAATCGTGTCATGTGGTTGAAACTGAGAACCCAATTCAGAGAAGTGCCATGATCTGCCTTTTCTGTCTACTATTAGGTCAAAAACAGTTTCGAAACATTCGTATTTTACATTTACTTCCTTCCATCTACTACTGCCTGAAAATGATGCCACTATGTTAAATCTAAATAAACTCCTCCCTGCCGATCTGAAAATCTGCCAGAACTCTTGTGTTGCACGTTATATTGTGTATTCAATACTCCACCCTGTCTGTATTAGTCAACAGAATGGATATAGCTGGAAAAATCGAATTGCATTTTAAAGATTTTAGGGTATATAGAAACGAATAAACGAATTTTGAATCGCCCTACCCTGACGTAGATTTGCAAGACATCGTGGATGAGGATGGAACTTCCACCACATACAAAGCAGGAACAGGAAACCACTGTCAATATCACAGTCATAACGAATTGGAGAATGAGCCCTTGCCGGCCGTAGAGGAACACAGGGACTATTAGGACGACGGGGTCTTTAAAATGTAAAAAAACAAACTGGGCTTTACCAATAAAGGCCATTTCATCTCTTTACTGACTGCCTAAATTTTGAGCAAAAATGGCATTTAATTAAGCAAAACGCGGGCGGATTTGTTAGGGACTTTTCCGCACTCCTTGCCCTTTGGGAAAGGGGTCGCCAGCGTGCCTCTTGGGGTCAAAATGAGGAAACTTGCCTATTTTCCATTTGCTGCGTCCGATTATAGGAGCATTCATGGCCGAACGCAGAGCAACAAAGCCAAGACCGAGGCAGGTAGAGTAGAGGAATGGAATAGAGAAAATAACCAGTGCCGCGAGGATAAAACTCAGACTACTGTGATCCAGTGTTAGTGCAATGCCTGACATCCAGTTTGTTTGGCACAGAAAAAACTGCGTCGTCGCCACTAAAATGTCACAAAAAAGTAATATGACTTTTTTTCAAATGCTTTCAAATGAGGGATTTTGAGAACAGCCTACAGCCGGTCGTCTTCCTGTAATGCGAACACTGAATCCAGTCGTGAATCCTACGCCGGAACTCGTGAACCATGATCGCAAATGTCGCAATAGACCCCCGACTGAAAGTTGCACTTAAGCGGAGTTGCAGTGCTGCGCTGAACGGCAAATAATTTAACCTTATCCAAGACCCGACAGCATGCTGAACATTCTTCCACTGAACTGCGTTAATCAGACTCGCGGAGTAGATCATCGCCTTAGTGACATGCACTTTTTTTCCAGTGATTGTGGATGCTCTTATAAGTCCAACATATTTCAAGGACCTCCAGATCGAATTCAAGACTTCAAAAAGATATGTTTTCGGTTCTTAAAAATGCGCCTGTTCGTGCGTCTTTTTCAGTATAACCTGGGTTCTCTTTTTATTCAGGTTCTAAATCTACTTATTACGCACTTTTTAGAAGTCAGTTCAACATATCTCATCATACTCCAAATATGAGACCCCTTGTTGTTCTAAAACTTTGATAAATTAATATGGCATGTGCATCTTAAAATTATTGTGGTGCACTGCCGTTTTACAACCGAAACATTCATTTGCTTCATCGTAGCGAAGGCACGGTTTCCTTTAGGGGTTCATAAGAACTTAAAGTCTGTTCGTTCACTCTATGAACTAAAACCAAATGGGCACCAGTGAGTGCCTTAAAAGACCGACTTAAAGAACTCGCCACCTAAAGCCAGCTAATCAGTATCGCGACCTCAAAAATAATAACTCTTGCTGAGCGAAGGCATAGTTGGACGCTATACTCTATGTTTCAGGTGTCCTTATTCACGCTGAATTTCAAAAATGTTGATCTCAACATCAAATTAAAGCTTAACTCATGCAGATGGCAGGAAGACATGGAATCCCAGCGACTACTGCGCTAATAAAAGGGTTCCATATACAAACGGCCTAAATGTAGGATCACAATCTCAAGTTAGGTAACGGTTCACTGTTCTGTGATGATTGCTGAACGTTATTGTGCAGTATCCTCCGATCATCCGGTGACTGAGACTACATGGCACGACTTTAATTGAGCCAGGAATCATGAAAGAGAACAGCCTTGCCCGCACGTGCCTGTCGTAGTTGATGCTACGCAAGTTTTGACCGTGATAGTCAGCACTCGTCGTTCCCAAACAACTTTAGCTTCTCGAAAAGAAGACTTTTTGTGTGAGATGGGCTCAACCAGCTAAAATGCGTTATTTACATTTAGTCGCCGCTCAGTATTTCTGTCGATTTGAACGTTTTGCACGACTAAGGCCCTCTCCGTCCATCTTCGACGAAAAATTACGATGCTAACTATTAAATATTGTATCATGTAGTCTCGAGGCGTTATTTTCCCTACTTCACCAACTAACTTTGACCCCCTCCAGATTACTTACCAATCAAAAGTATTAAGATAAAAAAACTGAACTTGAATTCGGAGGACTGAGCTTTCGACTTTAAATTTCATTAGTAATTTACAGAAGGAGGACTCGAAATTCATACAAACCGATTTTGGAGTATGATGGTAAAGACCATTAACATGAAACCCTGGAAGATTTCGCTCAGTCAGTTGAAACGTATGTGGATGTTGTGAAGCAACCACATGTGTGCTCAGTAGGTTTTCAGTATTTACACTCCATCGAGAAGTACTTTTAGCTTTTTCTGAGGCGTATATGCGTCAGAACCGGACCTCATTTTGTATTCTCAGAAATTTTCCTGAGTTAATAGAAGCCTGTTAAACTAGGCACCCCGATTAAAACAATCAAATATGAAGTTTGAAGCATGAAAATTACATACGTAAGAAGTCTGCGCAAACTGCCCAAAGTCCCTTCCCATTGTATGCGGAGAGGTAGCTGATATGCTCTTCGGCCCCATCTGGTTTGTAACAGTCCAATAGCTTGTAAAATCTGTCTTCGTTACCTGTGTTTCCAAAAAAGATATCAGTTTTAGAAATAAGGTGCAGATAACCATACTATATTTCTCCATTTCGCGGTCTTCATAAGGCAAACGAGAATAGTATTAACCACTTATGGATTGATTTTGTCACTCAAATTAACGGATAGGGTGCCTTTGGGCCCTGCTGCCCTGTTTCCCGGTTTTGACGGGAGTATTGAACTATATTCCAGCAGAGTGTATACTGTTTGATTCAGCTACGCATTGAACCTCACCAATCGGACTGCCTGCGCGAACGCTTGCACGCGATCAGATGGGTGACTAATAGAAAACCGCTTAAAGACAGAAATGGCGGGAACAGTAAAATAAGGCGTAGGCAGAAACCGCAAGCCTCATAACTTGTGGCGGCACGAAGCTGCTAAGAAGACAAACGGTAAAGAGAAAAGGAAGGAATGATGTCCGCTACACTGGCGACTGCACCGAAGAAGAAACAGTGGACGTTTTTTCGCTGCCTGACGGGGGAATTACTGAAAACCAACGAGAGACGAAGAACCTCAATGGCACATACCGCCCGATTTGGCCGCCCATTAACAGAAAACCGATTGATTACTATGACTTCCGACCTATCAGATGGCGAGATGAAGTTAGAAATGCATGGGCTCACGGTGGCGGACTCAAGGACACTGATTAGACTAAATAGAGATCTAGGGGTGGTGCTAACGCAATGGATACAATGTATCCCAAGAGTAGTGTACGCTTTCCCGACGTTGACGGGAACAACGCTCACGACCTACAACCACTAATTAGATTAGCAGCTGGCAGAGTAAAAAGGACAAAGGAGGCTTTCCAGACACCATGTCGGTGATTAATACAAAACCAACTGTGGGCTGTGAAGACAATCGGAAAAGGTATATAAATCCTAGGTAAAAGTGTCAGAAATCAACTGGACGTCAATCAGACAGAGAAAGAAGAAGACTGATAACGGTGATGAGTCTCACTTATTATTGCAAGTGTACACCAGGCTGCCTAAATCAGATAAGTAGGCGCTATAAGGGCAGCGTTTAGGGTGTGCTTTTTCCAGTGTCCTACCTTTTCTTGCTTTTTCTCGTAATTGACGTGCAGACACCACAGAACTCTTGGAAATCTAGGGGTCCTCTTCGTTTGAGAGTCCATTTGTGTGCAAGCAAAATGACACTAAAGTTATGTTACCAGCAGGTCTACAGAGGTTTATTGCGAAGATTCTTGGTGAGAGGAAATCAGTCGTAGTCTAATTAACTCGTTATGTGGGTGAGTGATAGTAAGCTAGACTTTAAACTACTGAACCTGGCCAGCTATT